TTTTTTTGCATTTCCTGATTAAGAATTACAGAAATTTCAGTACTCCATTTTGAGATGCTCAAAAATAATCGGACAGTTGACTGACAAGTGATTCAATGACAAGGCGATGCCTATTTCCTTGTTATTTAATGACAAATTAAGTACTCACACTAATGCACAGGTTGAATGCATGGGTGAATCTTAATTTTATAGCTTTTCACTGTCAATTTAAAAATGAGACCCAAATGAATGTATGTGCAAATGAGGGAGACTTATGATTTATATCATGTTACATTATCAGTCAAACATGGTGGAGGCAATTTTATCGCTGTATAACAATGTATGGCTGTCTGGATCAGAGGTGATTATTGACGATGTATCTGCTGATATAAGTAGCAGAATGAACTGTTAAGTGTGCTGGGCCATGATCTCTGCTCAGATTCAACCAAATGCTGCACAGCCAATCAGACAGTGCTTCACAGTACAGATGGATAATGACCCAAAGCACACTGCACAAGCAGAGAGAGTTTCTCAAGGCAAAGAAATGGGATATTCTTCAGTGGACAAGTAAGCTTCTCAGTTACTGAAGACAAAACTGAGAGACCCACAAACAAGAAGCAACTGAAAGCAGCTGCAGTAAAGGCCTGGGAGAGTATTTCAAGGGAGGCAGTCATTAATTATAAAGGATTAAAGTATTAAAATGTCCCTTGTATTTAGGTTTATGTTACTTTGTACAATTACTTTTGAGCCTCTGATTTTTTTATTGTTTTTTAATAAATAAATAAACTGGAAGTCTGTGCTTGAATCTTATCTTGATTGTTTGATTTAAAATCCACTGTAGTGGTGTACAGGGACAAAACTACAACATGTGTGTCTGTGTCCAGCAAATTATGGATCTAACTTTAAAAAATAAAAATTTTCTTTAAGTTTTTGTTCTCTTCTTTTTCCATATCTTGACTGCACAAGCAAGTATTCCACGGAAAAGGTAATCAGGATGTGAGAATAAGTAATCCTACACAGGAATTAGACTGCATGTAATACTGTGTCAAACCTCGTATCTGAAAGAGGAAGGAGATACAAACATTTATCATGATGATGCTGATGCACTTTTGGAGATGGTCTGGTGTGTAATTAGAAAGTATGAGCAATTATGAATTTGCATTCTGTGAAGTTGCACAAAGAACTGAGTAATATCTAGTATATGATATCGTCTCTCAAATCCTACTTGAGTTTAAACCCACTCCACAGGTGTTTCCAGAGGAGAGTGCTGACTGGTCAGAAGAGAGAAAGTTAAAATGTAACCGTTAACACTGATAATGTTTGGTGAAGCTTTACAATGAGGAATGAATTCAATTTAAAAAGAAAATCAAGGTAGAAAAGGGTATAACAATGGTTCACTTTAATAGTCGAAGCTTACAGTAGCTTGCAAAAGTATTCGGCCCCCTTGAAATTTTCCACATTTTGTCACATTACAGCCACAAACATGAATCAGTTTTATTGGAATTCCACGTGAAAGACCAATACAAAGTGGTGTACACGTGAGAAATGGAACCAAAATCATACATGATTCCAAACATTTTTTACAAATAAATAACTGAAAAGTTGGGTGTGCGTAATTATTCAGCCCCCTGACTCAATACTTTGTAGAACCACCTTTTGCTGCAGTTACAGCTGCCAGTCTTTTAGGGTCTGTCTCTACCAGCTTTGCACATCTAGAGACTGAAATCCTTGCCCATTCTTCTTTGCAAAACAGCTCCAGCTCAGTCAGATTAGATGGACAGCGTTTGTGAACAGTAGTTTTCAGATCTTGCCACAGATATAATGTATAAAGTAAGAAATAAATTGCTTCCAAAAGAAATGTATGTAAGACATGTAAATTGTTCATAAAAAGAAAAGGTGGGTATAACTTAAGAGGGAAATGGAATTTAAAAATACAAAGTGCTAGAACAACTTTAAAAACGATGTCTATCTCAATTGCAGGAGTTAAATTATGGAACAGTCTAACAGAAGAAATAAAAGAAAGTAAAAATGTAACATGGTAGACTAACGTGCCTGTGTCAATTCAGCTCCATATTATTGTGTGAAGTTGCACTGGGTTGGGAGTGGTTTTGTGTGTGTGTCACATTTTTGGTGAGCCAATGGCTGGAATGGGGTTGGACTAATTAGAGGCAAGTGTACTTGATTGCACTGATACATTGGTCTACTTATAGCCCACACTACGAACACTGCTGTGTCGTTTTGTCTCTCTGTGCAGGCCAGGGCCTATTATATGCCACAGCCTAAAGGCAGCAGAGTTGCAGAGGCTAGAGTGACCACTGGCTATATGCTTGCAGGGTGGTGGGTCTCCAAGGACAACTTCTAACCCTGTTAAAGGCAACACGTGGAGTGCAACTGGCCGTGTGGCATAGCTGGCTCCTGCTTTGGGACTGTGTGTTTTTATACAATTCATAAATGGAACACTGGACTGTTTTATCTTTTCTTTTGATATTTTTTGTCAAATTATCTTTTAGAACTTTATTGACTGTCATCTTTTTGCCCACGACTGAGACGGTTGGTCAGACCTAGAGTCTTTCTTTGGGTGTGTTACAAAAACATAAACCAGTTTAAATTAAAATATAAAAACCTAATTTTAAATAAGTATAAGAATGAAGAAAACAGGGTTAACCCAGGACGGTAATGTTGCTGGTAACGGTGTTGTAGTAATTTTTTTGTTTTGTTTGTTTGTTTTTCCATAACTTGTGAATCTGCAAATTTGGGTAGGGAAAGATAAGTATATACTTCTGCCTACTCCTTTTCAAACAAATAATGGAATGATATTTTGTAATGATTGTGAAGACACGTTTGAAATGTTTGAAATAAAAATGAACTGAACTGAAATGTGTGCTATTTAACAAAAAATGCAGCCAAGGTGGGGTTTTTTTGTTTTTTGTTTTGTTTTTTTAAAATAAACATTTCAAAATATTTACAGAACAATCAGGTGTTCTCCATCAAATTTGATGCCACACAAATTATTTGTGCCACTATGCGATAAAGGAGAACAACAGCCTGATACCTGCAGGCCTGACAACAGGAGATGTAGCACTCCTGTAACACCTGTAACATTCAGTAGTCGCCTCATTGTTCTGACACACACAACAAAACTATTGACTACACTACACACTAACTACACAAGATTTTCGCTAAATGTCAAAAATCTCTCACATCACTCCTAAAACTTCCCCCCTTCCTAAGCAACTAAATGCCATGTTCCCCGCTGTTTTTCTACTCCCTGTCTTTCTTGCTCCCTTTTCTTTCGCCTAGTCATGTCTGTCACGTATGTAACAACTGAAAATAAAATAAAATACACAATAATAATAATAAAAAAAGAAAAAATGTTGACTCTCAGCATTACTGTTCACGAGAAAATACAGTAATGTGATAAAAACAAGCACCTAAACTCCAACAGTAACTGAACAGCGTTCCTAGAATATGACTGAAATTTCAACAACAGCTTCTAAATGGACCTTGGATTCTTATTCTATTTGTGGAAGATCAGTAGCAAAAGTGACCACGTGGTGGAGTAGTTTGATTTAGTAGTAGCTTTTGTTTTGTTGTTATTTTTGTAACTCTAAGATTAAAGAGATCTTGTGTTCCTCTGTAGGTTTCATATACGTTTTTCTTATTAGGTAATAGATTATTTGCAACTTTTTTCAATAGAAATCAAGAAAACAATAGAAAAGAAATAACAGAAAAATAAATACTAACTATATTATCTAGTTTTATTGAGTGATTGTAATAATCCTGCTTTTACAGCTGACTTCAGGCTGACTTTCAGTATTTCCCACAGACAGCATAAAGATATATCATCTATATGTTCTATAGTCTCTAGTATTTCCACACGCAGTCCCGCCTTCGTGGGATTCCATCTGTGACGTCCCACATGGTAAACGTTTTCCCCCCTCTTCAGCTACGTGGTGTTGCAACTATTTACACAAGCGACGCTGAAGCCACTCTGCTGGGTGATGTTGGATATTGTGGCAGCTGAATTGTGCGTTTTGGCACAATCCCGTCATATTTAAAACGCTTGCGGACCTGTGCTGTGGGACGAAAAGAAGCAGTTTAAGTTCTCGGGACCGGTCATGGCAAAGAAATCAGAAAAACCCGATTGGGTGGTTTTGTTTTCTACGACTATAGCAATACTTGTGTGGATTCCCGTCAGCGGTAAGTTGTTAATTTTCTTTCAAAGACTGTGTTTTGCTGCACTGACATCATTCTCATAAAGTTCAGAGCTCGGTCCGGGTCTCCTGTCCACTACTTTGCAGAGAGAGAAGTATGACGGACCGCAACTGGGACAGATTTAAATATCTGGTTAAATAGTTTTGTATCAGTCTCTGGAAAACCGAGAAGGTTTCTTTGGATTTCTTTTTGTATCATTTTTCTTTTTAATTAAGTCACAAAATGTGGCATAAACGTAACGGTGGTAGTGAGAACGCGTCAGGATAGCTATAAATTAAAAATCCCGTGAGTTATAATTCATAGAAAAGCTTCAAAAATGCTGACTGCATAAACTGTATTTCTATTTTACCATTTATTCATTCTAACATAAGCTAACATGCCTTTTGTAAACAGCACAACCTTCC